GTTAACTCAAATTTGTGGCGATCTGCCAGTAAAAATTCACTGCTAAAGCTCGTTACTTTTCAGCTTATTTTTGGTGCGTATCAGTTCGTTCCGTAAACGGTGATATGATATCTGTAATGTGATTCGTTTTGCCTTTCAGTGTTGCTATTTGGTTTTAGAGCTTTGGCGGCCGCTTTTTGGTAGCAGTCACCTTTATCGACCTCTGTTTAGTGGATGACCGTTCATCGCAAAAGTTTTCTGCGCGAGAAGTGATCGTCTAAGTTTTCATTAATGTTAGTTGGTGAATGTTGCAGATGTGTGAAGTTTCAAACTGTTTATTAAATGTGATACGGTTTTTTATGATTACGAAGTTGCTACATTATTAATTTAGTGTAGATTGTTCGAAGTTACGTCGCTCCCTGTGCCGCTGCAAGAGATCAGATGATTGTTTTTGGGTATGGAAAGTTGGTTAGATTTCAGATTTTCGGCTGAAGCTTGCTATGTTATTTAGCACATTATACAGACGTTTTGTCTCTAAGTACTATTGGTAAAAAAAAGTGGTTTTTTGTTGTTGTAACTAGAAATAGTTGCTCGTTCTTTATCCGTTGCGGTATCAGATGTTTATCACTATCAAAACTTTGCATACTTTATGTCAAGCTTTCTTTAGTGTAGATAGAGTTTGTTATCATTTTTGAAATGCTAAGTGTCACACTGTTTTATGTAAAGACGATAATTGACAGTTTTTTGGTGGCAGCGTGAATAGAAAGAAGGCTTTTACTTAATTGCGCTGTGGTAACCGCCGTCAGACGAATTTGAAAGTTTAGAAGTCGTGTTGCTTGTCAAAATATTACGAAATTTACAGGTTTTTGCAAAACAACAATTAGACTGTGGGTGTGAGCTGTTTAAATGTTGGGATTTTTTATACAGTTATTTTTATTTCTCTTCACATTCCAATATTTGATTGGCGGCGGTAACATCTTTAGGGATGTCTAAAGTAGTAACTTATTGTTCCTTGTTTAAAAAGCCTGCTTTGTGGTTTTGATTTTTATGTGGTACCAAAACTCACAAAATTTTAGAAGTCTCTGCTTGCAGTTAAAGTTAACAAGTGTGCTACTTCAATGTCTGGTCACTCTTTAGACAGCGGTTTTCACAATTCTTGCACATTGGTTTTCTTCGTATTATGACCTATCAGTTTCCGGCAAATAAATTATATCTGACAACTACGACGTGTGAAAGTTACGTAGGATAGCGTTTGTTTGTTGTTATTTTTATTCTTAAGTGAAAGCTGGAAGTGCCGCAGTTTTAGTCATTACAGCGGTTTTTTACCTGGTCTGGACACAAAAAGGCTTCTCTGAATCATCCAGCGACGTTATGCTATTTTTTGTGGTTCTTACGTGGTGTACCGTTTTGCAGCAGTGTTAATTCTCATATACATTCTCAACTGCTCTTATTATCAAGGATCGAGAAGAAAAATTAATGTAGAGATATTTCGTACAAGTGTTATTGAGACTAGCAGAATCTTATTAGTAATTGTCATTGCATCCGGTTTTCTCATAGACTAGTTTTATGAAGATGTCTGTTTTTCCTTTTGAGAAATCCTTATGCATTGCTTTTATAATTCATCAAAATATGGCTTCTTGTGCATTATTTTTCATCTACACCACGTTAAGTGCTCTTTTAAACTACTTGTTTCGGACTGCAGGCAAGATAAGCTCCACTTTTTGAGACTGTTTGATGTCATTCGTGTGCCGCACCTAATTAAGCTTTGGGAAGAACTTTTATAGTTGGTAGGTGGCGCACTGTTGCGGAAGCGTTAAAAAAACATTTCTTCTGTCATTTTCACAAAAAGTACATCGCCGAGAAATGATTGGTAAACATTCAAAGACACTAAGCCTAAAACCTAATTTGTTGTCGACAGGAATACGACGGTAAGCTTCAAAAGCACCGATTTGAAAGATACGGTCTAAAAATGGTTGAACATTGATAAGGTGGTGCAGAAGAGATCTATGTTTATTCCACGTCAGATACTGATATTATTGTAGTGACTCTTGACAGAACAGGTACATGGAGCAAAGA